TAAAATACATTATTAACATTTAAATAAATAAATAAATAAATAAATAAACAAACAGGGTTTCTTATAAGGTTGAACGCAGGGACTGAAGAATGCTGAAAACAGCCTCCAATTCACACCCATGGACCCTGGATCAACTTTTAAGACACAAGCCAGGTTGAGTCACCTGGTTTCCCTTTCCTCTCCATGGCAGGTAAACTTCTGGTGCTCCTTCCAGTGACCTGCCATTATGGCCACACAGCCTCACATAGCTGCTATTTGCTAAGATGTCTCCACTACCAACAGACTCTTCCTGTAGTCTCTGCCTCAAGGTTTCTGATGACTCATGGATTTTGGTCACCTACTATCTTTGTTAATCTTGAACAATGGCTGACTGAATCTTCAGCTTCTAACCAGATTCAAGCATCTCCATTTGGCAGAGGTATTTGTCAGGTCACCTGGGTGACTGATCAGCCTAGATGGCTGGGGTGGCTAGGTCACCAACCCTGGGCACCTGGCCAAGATTCCTGGATACAGAGCTCTCCTTTGCATTCCACTCTGAACACTGTACAGTCTTCAGAAAGAGGTCCTGTTTTAGGTGTTTTTAAGGGACACCAGAGACAAACTTTGTCCAGCTCAAAGATAGAAATACAAAAATAGTTTTTAATGGCTAAGGGGAAGATGTAAGTGAAAAAGAAACAAATTCTTCATAATAATGAGACCTGATAAGCCATACGATGAGACCCTAAGGGGTGTTCAAAAGTCTTGTCCCTAAAAATCAGTGACTGTCTGAGTGACATTATTGAAGCCTACCTTGTAGGATTCCAACTAATCCCATATATCTATAGTTTGGTCATATGATAATTATTAATGAGTAGAATATGTACCAAGTATTACGCAGAGGCATCAAAGTCCCATGCCTTTTACACGTGCACCCACATTCTGAACTTCCCCATATCCAGCACATTTCTTTCTCCCCTTACCAAGCAAGCATCCATCTCTGAGCCTGGGTCCTCACAGGGGCTCAATGCTGTGGAATGTGTTAACCTGGAAAGCAAAGTAGACCCACTGTAACAGCACTGTCAGTGGCCTCCCCGTATCCCTTTGTCCCTTACCGTTTTAGTGGACAATGGCACAGCTTCCTCCTGCAATACCTGTATCTCTTTGTCAGAGGGCTTTCTCTGACTGCTGAGGTCCACTCTGCCCAGGCTCAGCAGACCAAATTAGTGACCTCATCCCACACGAGTAGGAACAGACTTCAACTAATTACTGTGCTTATTCCACCCTTCTGCCCCATGGGTGGCATGACTCTGAGGGACGTATTCTATACCATTCCCCAGTTTAATGTAATAAGATTAAGTTCCAGGTGGCAACTTGCTTTCCTGCCTCATTTCTCCACTCTCCTACCACTGTTTCCTAGGATTACTTCCCAGTAAACTACTTTCACTAGGAATCTTTGACTCATGGCTTACTTCCAAGGGAATCCAAACCAAGACCCCAAATGTCACTTCCGCCCTTGTATTTTACTCAACGATGGAGATATTAACTTGTTATTATTGATTACACAGATGGTTCCCAGCACTGGGAGTGACCAATCCTGGTCCTATTTGCATAGGACTTAAGGGATTACCAGGACTCGGGACTTGCAGTGCTGAAATCAAGTAAGTTCTGGGCAAACTGGGATGAGATGATCACCCTACCTGCAGATTGCCTGCCTGTGCTGGTGAGTTCATGCAGCAGTTTCCTTCTTATGGGCTCTACCTTCATCACCAAAAGCTTCTGAACAGACGGGAGGCAGACAGCTGGAGGTTGCTCTGAATCAACCAAGGACGGAACAGTATCATTAGCATGTGGGTTAATTAGCTGGAAAAGAAGCAGAATTCTTCACCCATCGTGCACAATAGGGATGCTGAGGAAGGAGAATAAAGGGCCCGAGAGCCTGAGTGGACCAAAAGACTTGCAATCGTTGCCTTGAGATAGGGACGAGTGGTTATCATCTAAAAGTTATCCATAGCTCCTCGCTGTGCCTAGCACAGGGATCTCACATTTTGCCAAAAGTCCTGCAATATTTCATGGGATGTGAAAAAGCAAAGATGTTCATTAAACTAAGTGTCACTAAGTGTAGTGTTCAACTCTTAAACACATCAAGGTATGTTAAGGTCTCTTGTGGCATTAACTAGCTGATTTTCTTGCTAAGTTCTGCCACGGGCTCTCAAGCATATTCTTTCTAATGGAAATAAAACATAATCATGAGCATCACTTTCATGACATATCAAGGCTCTATGGCCAGGAACATCAGTCCAATACCTGGCATGTCCCAATGCTTCCATAAGGATACTTGGGTTGTAATGATGTATGAAAACATTTTGTAAACCATAAAGCATCATGTAAGTTGATTAACCCATAATTCATTCATCACACATCATTGTAACAATTGAAACTATAAAATTTTATATTAATGTGCTGGAATCATTTTAATTTGGACTGTGAACAGGGATTTTTTTTTTCTTTTTTATCACTCATTTCCAGTCCTAGAAATGTGAGTGGCACAGATCAGGTAATCAACAAATGTTTGCCTTATGAATACGTAACCAGAGTAGTGCTGCCTTGTGGGCTGAGATCTGTGCATCAGGCCCTAGTGACCCTCTGACTCAATGCCTTTAGAAATACTTTCTTTATGCTAGTTTTAAAGAGTGTATTTCATTACAATTCTTGAACTGTACTACCATCTACCTCATTACAAAGACTTTAAACTGTTCTTTCTTTCTTTCAAAGGTTAATCTATGTTAGATTACTTTTAATGCTTGTGCCTTAGTGGATGCTTTTCCTCCTGAGAAACTAATATGTTTCCTCCTTTTTGACAATGAAAAATTATGCATGCCATTTTCCATATTTCTCTTTCTGTACTGGTTTCTAGCAAGCCCAGAAACCAATTTTATATGTATTTCTATTCAAATTTAATTTCTTTTGTTTAAAAAAATCCCTTTATCTCTTAATTTTAAAGAATTATGTTTCCTTAAAGAACATTCCATATGTTTCTGGGAGATGGAATATAAACATATTTGGTGCCATGAATTTTATGAACTTAAAAGTAGGTGTCTAATTTACCAAGGCATTGTTCTAGACTTGTGGTAGTGTCATTCTTACTTTACTCTGCAAATGTTAAAAGTTACCATGTATTGTCTACACAACCTGGTGGTAACTTCACTTTAAGGTTCATGGAATCAATGAAACCTGCCTATTTCAACCAAATTAAGAAACAGTAGTGTGGACTTACTTAGGCAATGGGAAGGTTATTTGGAATATGTTATTCCGGGTACAGTCAAAATCTGTATTGTGCAGGTAGATCTAGCTAGCTCCCTGTACTACCTAATTGTTTGGACTAGTTTTTGTTGTTGTTGTTGTTGTTTTCCTACTGGATAAGAAATTGAAGCCCCAAACCCCACATGGTGAATAAAGCAGCCAAATCCGCAGTCTGGTACGCTATGGGTTTGTGGCCAGTATTTGGCCTCTTAAATAATAATTTCAATATAGATGGTGGGGCAGAGTGATTAAAAACATTGAGTTTGGCTTTTGAAAAACTCTAGACTCTGCCACTTAGTGCCACTTGAGCTCACAAATAACTAAGTACAACTCCTGTACAAGAAAATGGATCCATTTGAGCCATGTAGTGACCTTGGCCTTTTCCTTAAGTGTTAACCTCTCCAAGGCCAATTCCCAAAATAAACCAAACTTGCTCCAGTGAAAGTGGGTCTAGCTTCTGATAATTATTGCAACTATACACTCCTCAGGGTTGGAGCCCTTTCTATACCGGTCTTTCCAATGAACGCCTCAGAGACCAGGGAGAAAATGTCAGCCTGATGGGCACACCTGCCAGGTATCATCGGTCATGGCTGGGAGACTCGATGCCTGACCACTAGTTTGTTGGACAAATTTACCTGCTCTGATCCTTGAGCTCTCTCTTCCTGACTAGAGTCCATGGCCACCAATGGGTCATTCAGCCAAGTCCCCCAGCACAACTCCAATCCTGGGGCTGCTACCGTTACTACCTGCTATGGTTGTCACTCTCCAGCATTTCTCAGAGCATACTTGTGACCCACTGGGCACAGACTCTCAGGGGACATAGCTCTGAACTCCAGCCCCAGATGGTGGAGATTAGGGGAGCGGGATGTTCTGACTGACTCAGATACAGTTTTGCACCAGGTTTGTGACTGATGGAACAGGATCGACAGTATGGGGGATACCGTGGGACCACTTACCTACACTTTACCCAGGCCAAAATCTCCTTTTCATTAACTCCTCCAAGAGGAAGTCACCTCCCTGGACTTTCTGGGTGACTGACTCCCAGGCTGACCTGAGAATAGGTCTCTGTGGCCCCTGGATCAGTATACCTACCTCATCACATTACAGCTATTTTATTATGTGTATTATAATTATAGTTATAATTTCAATAATTTACTATTATAATTATGCATCTATGTATTTGTCTCCTATCTTAGATTGTGAGCTTCTGGAGTACAGGGACTATATCTGATTCATCCCTTTCCCTCCATTGGCTAGCACAGTGCCTGACAGATAGGAAGCAGGCAATACATGTGGGTTGAACTGCTCTGATTTCATAGGAAGGAACGGGACTATAATTATGCAAGGGTTGTTTGTTCATGGTGAAGGCCTAAACTAATGTGTAACATTGGAAGTATAGTTTCAACAGAATGGTAAAATTGTCTAATTGTTACAGTTAAAATTAGGTCTCCCCCCAGGCCTTCCCTCAAAAAATGCCTTAGTAAAATTATTTTATAACTAAAATCATTACAAGAAAACTTACATTTCCCACCACAATGTTACGCTATTGAGGAAGGCGCATGAAAAACCCTCATCACCTTTCATAGGATTCCAACAGATAACCCTTTTCCATTTAATCCACATCCCTTTTATCTTCAATTTAAAAAAAAAAAAAGGAGGTGAAAAGTTAAAGTAGAATAATATTGCTGTGTACACAGTTTTTTGGGTTTTTTTCTCCTTCCTAGTGTTTTTCTCCTCAATGCACGCAATTGGTAATTAAATATATTTCTGCTGGTCTTGTGGCCATATGCCTACAATATGTAAAAATACATTTGCGCTTTTTTTCCCCCATTCCTTTTGTTCCCAGTGCTGACTGCTGTCAGAGTGAACGGTCCAGATTCCCGTGTGCTGGTATCCATGGGCTCCGTCTTGCCAAGCTGCCAGTCTGGAGCGTCACACCTTACTGCCTTTAAAGATTGCCCTGCAGAGATAGAGGGAAATGGCAATTTTTACATGATGCAGTCTGGCGACCCAGGAGATTTGAAGTCAGAACTGGTGCCAAGATTTACCCAGGAGAGCAAGCAGAGGCAAAAACAGAGAACCTGGGCCAAAAGGAAAAAAAAATAAAAGAAGAAAGAGGAGGAAGCCTGGGGGATGGGGAAACCCACTGTCAACTCTCTCTGGGGGTTCTCTCCAAAGGCCAGAACTTAAGGCCACTGAGTGGGTGATGGTTGTGTTATTAGGAGTATGTGGGTCCTAAAGAAAGTCAAAGGGAAGAGGTCGGCTTTTTTTGCATGCCCTAAATTGTAGTAGATTGCAGAATGTAAATGAGACAATTATTACACCAACGCTCATCAAGCTGGGCTGGAAAGACTTCAATAGCCTGATGAATATGCATGCAAATTTGTTAATTAAGTTAATTATTCTGCTGAAAATTCATTTGTCTTCCAAGGACATTTTCCCAATGATTTTAACATGCTAGCGCCATTAGTCATGCTCCATGCTATTTAACATTACTTTTTGTCCACTTTCTTTTCCCCCCACTTTTTTTTTTTTAATATTTTAAAGTTTTAAAAACAGTTGATTGGTTCTTTTAATTGACCCCTGCAACGGTGGAAGATGCCTAGAGCCAGCTCGGTAGGCATCCTTGGAAGCACATTTCAGTTAAATATATCCTTGATATATAAAATGTCTGCAAAGTGTCACATTGGTGGGGAGGAGAAGGGCTCTATCTGGGATCATTAAAGCCAGAATTCGAATCGTTCTCCATAGTGACTGTAAGAGGTAATCTGTCCCTGCTGTGGGCGATTTCCCCAGCTCTGAGTGTCATTTGATACATGGGTTTACCTTGCTATGGGAATGCGGTGATTCCAGCCTTCTCTGTCCTCCCACTGCAAGGCGAGACACAGCGAACATGTGTGTTCAAACAGGAACCAGTACTGTGAGACTTTTCTGTCACCCATGAGGGCCCAAACCTGTAACCATGGCAACAAAGGGGAATAGTGTGTTTAAAATCACATCTAAATGGCAAATTGAGATATTTGAAAGAAACGGTTGGGTTTAATTTTGTTAGCCAACAGCAGCCAAAAAAATTGTAGCGTAGTATTTTTCAAATCTGCACATTATTTTGTTGGGCAAAGCAGGCTTATTTAATTGAGACTTTTGTTATGGGCCTCAAAATTAGAATCTTTGTGAGTCGGAGTGAGCTTTATTCAACCAGATTTTTGATCTTAAAGCGCATAGACACGTACGAAGCAGCCTATAGAAATCTTTCAAAAATCTATGTGCAGCAATTATTACTTCCATCTCAACTCAAAAATCTGGACGTGTAAATCTGATAAATCTGATAAATGCAAGTGTTTGTAGTGAGACAGTAGAATAGAATACTTGAAATCAAGACTTGCAGAAAATCAGAGGACTATGGTTGCCTGCGTACATTAGACAGTCATATTAAAAGAAGAAAGATTGACCAATGCGTCACTCAGGGGACTGCCATATGCATTTTAAAGGTCTCTCTTAAGGTCATTTATTTTCTTTGGAAAGAAGGTAAATTCAGATTCTACCCCCACACACACCACCATCAGTCATCCTAAAAGAACTCACTGATACTGTTGCAGGTTATAACCTATATCTTCAGTTAGGGTCGATCAGGCCAGCCTAGAGCCCAGCTAATGGAAAGGGGATTCAATAAGGAAGACAACATGATTTAATTGAGAGTTAAAGAAAAATTAATTGGTATGCTATCTCTTTCGAGCCATCCGTATATATTTTATACAGTATGAATGGCACTGTGTGTCACATAGATCGTAAACCAATTAAAATGATATTTTAAACCCTGTAATTTCTATAATTCCATCTGTTTTAGAAGGTTTAATTAGCAAAGTTACAAAAGCCAAATATATTTGAATATTTTGAAAGCAGGCGGAATAGCAAAAACTGAGAAGTTCCCGTAAACACTTAACCACACAGCCACGTACATTCATGAGACTATATTTCAGTTAAAATAATATGTGTGGATTTTTCTAAATTTTACCAGCAGCAAGTCACATCCCCCCCAAATTATGATCATATGTTAGGCTGTGTAAATTAATTCAGGGTTTTTTTTTTCCTGTTTTTCATCAAACTTCCAGAGATTTCTTCTGTTGAAAATCCCATACCTGTCGTTTAACCTCAATTATGGGCCCAAAGGAGTGACAGCTACATAAAACTAACACTATTGAACTTTCCCTTAACTATTCTTTCATAGGATTATAAGAGAGGCTTGCCATTTTGCAAGTAGAAGGGACTATTTTTCAGATATATCAAAAAACATATTTCAGCTACCGGTAACCTATTTTTCAGAAATAAGAGCATAAATAAGAGATGACAGGTTGTGTCATCTTTAAAATTTGAACACAAAATCCAAAGCTACAAAGTATTCAACCCATTTCTGCACTATGAAAGGAAACTATTATTTCGATCTTTAAAATAATGGGTCAAACATGAGATCTTGCTCTGTTCTTTGGTTTGGATGCTGTGCTGAGCAGCTGGGCAAGGTTCTGGGCCTCATATGGCCGCAGTCACCGATGACTGACAGAACGATGGTGACAATGTGACGTATAATATTCTCTCTTTTCAAAACGCTTGCCATACCATGATTGTGACTCAGTGGGTGTCCAGCTCTGTCTTTCCTTTCTACGGGATTTCTGACATATAACAAGATGTAATTAATTTTTTTTTATACGCTTGTCTTTTTCATTACCAGAGATACAGTGAGTGTAATTTATTATTAATTCTGCTCCTATTTCATACTACCTGAGCAAACTACTTTTGTTTCCATTTGTATTTGTGTTGTATGCTTTTAAGTCAGAAAAAAATGGCTAATAAGGAAAACAGGGACTCAAATCTCACTGTGCTGAGGAGATATATTGTGCTGGAAAACTGCCATTTATTGAGGATCTACTACATCATTGTGTTTCATGGGCATCATCTCCTTAATCTTTGCATCTGTCAACCAAGAAAGGTATAATTATCCTCACTTGACAAGTGAACAAAGCAACATCCAAAGAATTTAAGCCCCTTGCTCCATAAAAAAGAAAGAAGTGAAAATTTCCAATAAGCGAGCAGCAGGAGCAAGATTGGAGCCAGAAAACATATCCAAATTGTTTGTTTTACCCCAAAGCTTTCAAGTGTTCTAATATACCCGACTACCACTACTACTTTTCAAAAACTCATCTTTGGAAGGCCAAAATATACGCAACACTTAATATTCTTGTAAGATCTCAGGATTTACTTTCGTCACCAAGTACGACCCGGCCCTCTCAGTTTGATTTCATTGTATTGTATTACAGGGTATTAAGGATGGACTTCCTATCTTTTAAGAGGATTACCTTTTCTACTTGGATGTGTTTTGAGTTTTAAAAAAGTGGGGAATACTCCCAAGAAGGAGGTTAAATAGATTTTGTTTGTAAATAGTTGAGCAGTTGCAGGAGGCATCTGTTCCTCTTCTGCTTCACCTGTGCTTCTCCTTCTTTGGATCTGCACTTCCTCCCCACCTGCCATGCGGCTCTCCTGGGGAGGCTGCATCTCCCCACCCTGTCCTTTTCATGGGGCGGTGGGTGCCTGGAGTCCTGAGAGAGGGTTAAATATGTCAGAGGGAAAAGGTTCTTTCTCCTTCTAAAATGATGAATAGGGAGGGTCTATGGATCTTGACTGCTGTGAGCAGCGAGATTTTTCTGAGAGAAACCGACATAGAGGGAAGCAGAGGAGAAAGAGGGAGAGAGAAAGAGGAAGAAAGAATCAGAAAGTTGGTATCAGGTCAACTTATCTAGGACTTCTCACTGACAGGAGCCTAAAAGTTCTCTCTCTCCCTCTCTTACTCTCCCTCTCTCTCTGTGTCTCACTATTTTGACTTGGATAATTGTCCTAATATAGACATCTGCAAGAGTCAGAAGGAATAGTATGCACCAATTGACATTTCTTCATTCTGTAGTATTTTTATTCAAATTTTACAAGGGCAAAGTGGATCAATATCTAAGAAGATTCATATATGTTGATCTTAAAAGGGTTGTCCACCAGCCCATCTTTAATTATCTGTGTCACTTTAGTCACTGATCTGTATTTATCAAATATTTCAGTAGTTATGAGGAATCCTCCATCCATCATAGCAATGTATCAATTTGTAATTATACGCTAGAGTTGAGTTTCTATACTAGAAAGATTGGCCATGAGACAAAACTGAGTCTTTTTATAGTCTGGGCCTGTTTGGTAACACTTTGAATATGACATTTGGCAATGATCATTATGAAATGCTATCCAGATAATTGAGACCAAAGAATCCACTCCCAGGCCTGACTTGCTTAATTTGCTTGCCTATGCTAATGAATGTAACTTTTTTTAAAAAGTCTTTATGTTGTATACATACTTACAAAGTCTTAAGAAGGGCCTGGAACTCTACTGTACCCTTGGGAGTTAATGTTCTCAGTCAGAGATATTTGAACGATTTTTTGGTAATAATTTAGAGAAACTTACAATTGATCAAAAGACTAAGTTAACATACTAGAGGATCTCAGAACCTGCATTCCGATAACAGATTTATAAAGGTTGAAAGCCTGGTTCTACCACTTACTGTCATTGATGTGACTTTGGGCACATTGCTTCAGCATTTTGTTCCTCGGTTTTGTCATGTTCAAAATGAGGACAATAATAGTTTCTACTCCACAGAGTTGTTGTGATTGTTTATGGAGTTAATCATTGAAAAGTTCTTGAAACAGTCTCTGGTACATAAGCTAGGCTCAGGAAAAATGAAGTCTTCTTATTATTGAGTTTTTAATTTACTAATAGTTTTTTTATAGGTGGGAGAGGGGCAAAAGGAGAGGAAGAGAGAGAGAGAGAATCTTAAGCAGACTCCATGCCCAGTGCAGAGCCCAATGTGGGGCTCAATCTCAAACTCCAAGATCATGACCTGAGCCAAAATCAAGAGTCAGACACTTAGCTGACTGAGCCACCCAGGTGCCCCTGAAATAGTTTCTTTTAGGGAACTCCTTCTGCCCCATTGGCAGAATACGCAGACATTAGTTAGTTAGTTAGTATAATTAATGCTAACAATGTGCAAAATCCTGGCTAAAATTCTTCCTATTTCTTAGTAGCTGTATTTGCAAGAATTATCCAAATAATTGACACCTAACCAAATCTATTTGTCTGCTGTAGTTCTTGCTTACATACCAGATGTATCTTCAAAAATTCTAATTTTTAAAATCATCTTAAAAATGTATCACATATCTCCTATATGCAAGGTACTGTATTCAGTGTTTCTGGGGTTTATATAGAAATATGTCATGGAGCTTTCTTGGGCATGTGCTACAACAGTTGGGAGAGTGGCAGGTGGTAAGACATACTTCCAAGAGGGGCATTTTCTTCGGGTATTATAGTGTGTTATCTTCTGGCCTTAGGGTATCCCTGATCAGAGCCTAGGGTCCCTGGGCCCCTTCACTCAGGATAAGTAGACCATCACCAACACACTTCTGCACAGAGGCCACTGGCTTGCCTGGCTGATTCATATGGGCGTTAGCCATGGTTTTGTGTAAGTCTAAAGGCATCACGAATGCTTGGGCTCAACTACTTCTTGTTCTACCAACTTTCGTCTTTGGGATAGCATCTCTCTCCATCTTGATTGCTTACTGACCAAAAATACCAAAAACACACTTAAAGAAGATATCTAAAAGCTTTCTCTACACTTTTGACATTTGACTTCACTGTTTTGGGAGCAGGGGAGATGCTGAGTTTACTTGATCTTTCTAGTTTCCAGAAATTGAAGACCCTCTAGTTATTCGTTATTCTTTCATGCATTCTGGATGAGCTTGACTAGATGACAAGAAAGGATTTAACCTTCCCAGTTCTGCAGACTCACCTACTTGTCCAAAAGCTTCCAGCTACCTTCTTGAAGTACTTGGCAGTGTTGGTGCTCTTTCTATCACCTGGTTTAAACTGTGTACTT